GCTTAATGACTGAGCCACCCAGGCGCCCTAAATTTCTATTTCAAAATGAAATTTTATAATTACTGAAAAGTTGGTTTAAGGAACTTTATATTCTATTTATTTTTGAGGTACAAATGAACTGCTTAAAATTTTAACTTTATGTTCTATTTCTTAAAGAAGATTTATTTGTGAGAGAGCACGTGTGTGCAAGCGTCAGATATGGGAGGTGGAGAGGGAGAAAGAATCCCAAGCAGACTCCCCACCGACCACGGAGCCAACTTGGGGCTCGATCCCATGACCCAGAGATCACCACCTGAGCTGAAACCAGGAGTTGATGGTCAACCCACTGAGCCACCTAGGTGTCCCAATATTCTATTTATATTTGAGGTACAAGTGAACTGTTAAAAATTTTTTCAAGGAGTGCCTGGGTGGCTTGGCAGGGGGGCCTGCTTCTCCCTCTCCCCTTCCCCCTGCTTGTGTTCCCTCTCACTGTCTCTCTGTCAAATAAATAAAATCTTTAAAAATAAAAGAAAAAAATTTTTTCAAGCCCTCTTGTGCACCCCCCCCCCCAAAATGGAGGGAGGGAAGGGAAGGGAGAAGGTGGGGCAGGCAGGCAGACACAAACTAAATTCAGTTATTTGAAGTTAACTTGTACCCATCAATGACCTGTTCTTCTGATTAAAATTAATATATCCATACAATTGATTATTGTGTGTGAATGAGGTAACTGTGGTGATACTGAAGGATTTTTAGGATCTGTTAAGTGAAAAGACCAAGATGCAGGACAGTATGTATAGGAAAGGGGGAAATAATACGCATTTTTATTTGCTTGTATCTGCACAAAAGTTTTGGAAGGAGTTATATAAGAAGTTAATAACAAATGATTACTTGTATGATTGGTTGGAGAGTAGAGCTGGGATATAGGGATCTGTGAGATTTCTCAAGGTTTATATTGTTACATTTTAGTTTTTGAAGCATTTGAATATAGTACTTATCTAAAACCCAAACTAATATATTTTATTTATTTTTTTTAAAGATTTTATTTATTTATTTGACAGAGAGATAGTGGGAGTAGGAACCAGGGGGAGTGGGAGAGGGAGAAGCAGGCCTCCCGCCGGGCAGGGAGCCCGATGCGGGGCTCGATCCCAGGACCCTGAGATTATGACCCGAGCCGAAGGCAGACGCCCAATGACTGAGCCACCCAGGCGCCCCCCAAACTAATATATTTTAAAAGTATTTCTTGCCTTTGGTTTTATATCTATTGTGTTACGTTGTGTTATATATCTATATGTGTTTTATATCTATTTGATACATTTATTGAGTTTTCTGGATTACTTCTAAAAAATTAAAACTAGAGTCAGTAAACACTGTCATTTTGATTAGAAGTGTCTAAGCAGTTTAAGGAAGAGTACACACATGTCGTAAATGATAACAGTTTATGTTGTAAATGATGACAGTTTGCCTCTTATGTATTGATAACTGATGAGCAACTCAAAACATTCAATCTTTAGTTAGCTGCTGGGCATATCTGAAAAAAGTAAAATATGGAGTCATTTTGTACCTTAAATTTAGTGTGGTTTATTCTTTTTACATACAGCAGAGCTCTAGCAATTTTTTGTGCTAAATTTAGGGTAAAATCTGAAACTTACTTTAATGGAGTAGATATAATTAGACATGCAAAAAGATGGTATTACTAGGATTTTCTCATTATAAGACTATTTTTGAAATTAAAATATAAATTTACATCAAATACCTGCGATATATAAATGCTTTATGAAAAATAAGACTAAATGGTAAAAATCGTTTGTGTTCCTTTTTTTGGATCCCCACCTCTTTAAAATTTCATTACAGAAATGGGGAGTGTTAAAGTAAATACCATATTTTTTTTAAAGTTTATTTTTGGTATATTCTCTTCACCTATTTTTCCTCCCATTTCAGAAGGCCCTAGTGAAATATTTATGGGGATAGGACTTCAAACTGTTCTGGAACCTTGAATTGTCAGATCAGAATAAGATTATGCTTTTGCTCTAATGGTAAAGGCCCTTGAGTTGAATTCTCTAGTGTCTTTAAACATACAACTTTGAAATACAATCAATTAATCATATTGGCCTTTAAACATAGAGCAGCTCACCCAGCCCTGGAACTCTCTGAGATAGGCCATGCGTCTAGTCAGTTTGGTGAAAGAGCGGTAGTAAACCTACATCTGTGTTAACCATAAATATATCACCAGTAAAATGTAGGCTGATTATAGTGCTAATAATGGGGGTAGTAGGGCTTTTTCTGTTTACAGTTTACCTGAAATTTCAGTTACAAGTTAACTGTTTAATCAGACAAGGTTGTTTTTATTTATCTGAGACTTTTTTTTGGCTCCCATACTTTGTACAGCAAGCAGGAATATTTTCTAGGTAATTAACCCCATTGTTCTGAACCTCGAGAGATCTAATATCTTCTTACAGCAACCTTTAGGCTTTGTAAGAGATGCTTTACTCATGCTGGCTGAATGCTGAATAAGAAATAGAAGGAATAAAAATTATGAAAATAGTCTTAAAATTTAAATAGATTTATCAGCAAAGAAAAGGGCAGAAGTTGGATCTTTAGGTCAGTATGTGTGGATAATATCCTGGAACTCTGGCATCTACTAAATAATGATATTTACATGCTCCACCATGATAAAATTAGAAATTTGGTCAGTAGTTGATACTAATTTTTAGTAGACATGAATAGTTACTCTGAGCCATGAAAGAAATCTTATTACCTACGTTGAAAGGTACCATACCTTCCTCCCTTAACCATTTCTTCTTAAAACATATTTTTATTTTAAACTGTAGTTTATCACAAAGACTTGCTCTCTGTTTATTTTGAGGCATCAGTTGAAGAATAATTTCAACATTATATTGAAATATGGTTATGAATATTTTTGTGGCATATAAAAAATGAAAGGGTATTTAAGAAGGTTATCATTTAATAATAGAATGACTTGTGTATTACAGTAATATAGATTTTAAAATTTAACCATAAGGAATTATTTTAATTAAAATCTTAGGAAAGTTTGAAGCTGTACAAATGATCTCTTTGGCTATAGTATAATGCAGCCTATTTAATGATATCTTTGTGGTCTTCTAATTTTTATGTAAAAATCACATTTGTTACAATTTCTTGGCATTCTCTGCATCTACACTCAAAGTCAAATAAACAGTTTTGAACTATTTTCTCATATTTGTTAAAATATAACAAACTTTCCCGTAAGTAGCTGCTTTTTACCAGCCAATATAATTTGCACATATAATTAGAAAGCTTTAGTCCAGGATTCGCTTTTAGTCTAGATTTTTCTTTAAGAAAAATCCTTTGTTAAGGCAGACCAAACTGCTGAAATGAAATAGCTCGGAAAAAATAAATTAGCAAGTAACCACTTAACATTAAATGCTTATGGTTTACTCTAAGGTCTGGATATAGATCAGGTTCATAGAAAATCTCATGAATTTTCCATAAGGCACAGATGGTAAGGGTGCTTATCAAATAGCACAAGGCAGTCTTCACATTTTTATAATAAAATCCTACCAAGCAGTGAAATGAATACATTGCTTTTTTTGGTCTTTTGTAGGAACAAAGCTTTCTGCTTGGTTTTTATGGTAAAATATTTTTATATTACATCATAAGGATATGTATTACTAAATGAAAGAGATCGTATAAACCTACCTCTTGTCTGAAGGCTGCTGTTGAAGCGATGGTATCGTCTGTTTGTAATGCAGTCCAGTGCACATCCAAGATGGAGCTGTGCTTCTATTGGTTAAACCACAATGCAGCTGACAGTTTCCTCTTCGTTCATTTGCATTAAGTCCTGCCACCCTTAAGTGTAAATCATTCATAAACTTGAATAGAGCTGTTTGGGATATCAACTGTCACCTTTTTCTTGTCTTATTTTTTTGTCCTTAAGCTAAATTTCTGCAAAGGAATTTGAGTTAGTAACAAAGTGATGATTCCTTAGTGTTTAACCATAAAATTTCGGATCCTTCAGTGAGTATTTCACTGCTAGGGCTGAAAGGTAATGTCGAGAGAGGTAGTAACCTAGGAAACAAACAGTCCAGGTTTACCAGCTTGGTATTTCCTCCAGGAAGTGGGCATAAAATATCGTAAATGATATTTTCTTTCCATACTTGTGTTATATATAAATCTTGTCCTCTGGAAGTGATTATTTCCATGTGGTGGTTTGATTTAGGAGAAATTCTAAGGGAAAAGAAAGATTTTCTGCTCTGCTAGTTGGGAGAGGGTTAGTTTTGGTAGTTATACCACCGACATTAAAAAGCAGTCTTTGAGGGCACCTGGGTGGCTCAGTTGGTTAAGCGACTGCCTTTGGCTCAGGTCATGATCCTGGAGTCCCGGGATCGAGTCCCGCATCGGGCTCCCTGCTCGGCAGGGAGCCTGCTTCTCCCTCTGACCCTCCCCCCTCTCATGTGCTCTGTCTCTCTCATTCTCTCTGTCTCAAATAAATAAATAAAATCTTTAAAAAAAAAAAAAAGCAGTCTTTGAAATTTAAATGGTAAAAAAGGAATAAAAGGCACAGCATAGGGAATATAGTTAATGATATTCTGATAGTGTTGCATGGTGACAGCAGCTGTACTTGTGGTGAGCACAGCATAATCTATAGAGAAGTTGAGTGACTATGTTGTACACCTGAAACAATGTAACATTGTCAACTGTACTAAAAATTTTTTAAAATTTCTTCCAAAATTTATTTCTTTATTTTAGAGAGAGCACAAGTGGGAGGGACAGAGGGAGAGGGAGAGATGATGTCAGGTAGACTCCACATGGAGCCTGAGGCAGAGCTCGATCCCTGATCCTGAGATCATGACCCTAGCTGAAACCAAGAATCAGCACTCAACTGACTGTGCCACTCAGGCACCCCTCAAAAAAATTGTTAAAAAATGGCAAAAGAATCCTCAACTGAATATTTGAAGATAGAGTATTTTTATTTATGGTGTATTATTTAGAGTTGTGTGTGGTCCAAGCATAACAGAATCAAGGTTTTAAATTATGGAGTGGCTATTACAGCAACAGCAGACTGAGTAAATGCTTGCTGTGCAGACTTTATTTTATAGTTTACATTATTTTTTTTTTAAGATTTTATTTTATTTATTTATTTATTTTAAAGATTTTATTTATTTATTTGACAGAGAGATAGACAGAAGAGCACAAGCAGAGGGAGTGGCAGAGGGAGAGGGAGAAGCAGGCTCTGCACTGAGCAGGGAACCCGATGCGGGACTCGATCCCAGGACCCTGAGATCATGACCTGAGCCGAAGGCAGACACTTAACCATCTGAGCCACCCAGGCGCCCCTAAGATTTTATTTATTAAAGGGAGATAGTGCGGGTGGGGGGGGGGAAGAATCTGAAACCGACTCCACACTGAGCGCAGAGCCCAGTGCGGGGCTCGATCCCACGACCCCAAGATCATGACTTGAGCCAAAATTAAGAGTCAGACACTCACCTGATTGAGCCATCCAGGTGCCACCACATTATTTTTTAAAATTACAGATAAATTAGCATATTAGTTTCTAGGACTGTAAAGAGGTACATAGAAATACTCTTACTATCTTCATTCATTCAGCTAATATTTACTATTTACTTTGCCTGGCATTGAGCTAAATGTTCAAGACTCCATGATACACAAAACTGCATGTAGTTCATGATTGAGCATTTGTGTAGTGTCTATCCTTAACATAGTGTCGTCTGCTTTTCATAGTGTCCCCAGTTAATGTAGGATAAACTTAATATTTTACTAAAGTTAAACAAGAAAACATATCTGCATTTATGAATTTTTATACTCTGACAAAATAATAGCCAGTTTCAGATGGAATAGTCTGTATTAAAGACTAGTTAATGATTCTTATACAAGGCAGTATCACAGTGTTTACAACTGAATTTGAATCTGTGTTCTTCTGCATAGTGCTCTTACTTTTCTTATGTTTAAAAGGGGACAATGAGGGGCGCCTGGGTGGCTCAGTTGGTTAAGCATCTGCCTTGGGCTCGGGTCATGGTCCCAGGATCCTGGGATCGAGTCCCACATGGGGGCTCCCTGCTCAGTGGGGAGTCTGCTTCTCCCTCTCCCTCTGTTCCTCTCCCCCACTTGGGCTCTCTCTCTCTCTGGCAAATAAAAAAATCTCCTTTAAAAAAGAAAAATAAAAGGGGACAATGATACCTCCTAAATAAGATTTTTCGGAGGGATTAAATGAGAAAATCAAATATTCAGCATGGTACGTGGTAAATAATAAGTATTCAGTAAATGTTACTTTTATTGTTAAAGTGTCCTGAACACCTTGGGAAAATGAACCATGTAGGTAGTATTTCATAATTGAAATAATGAATGTGAAAGCATACCTGTAAGGCATCCATAATACTACTTTTGGAAACATAGTAGGCTATAATGTGCCAATTAAGTTGTTGTCAAAGCAGTGATTTTTAAAGGAAAATTACATATCAAATCTCATTTTAGTCTCAAAAAAGCATATTTAGTAAAGTCTTTTCATAAATTGATCTCAAAGAAGTATTATGTTGCCATCTAAAAGCTATTCTTTTGGCTCTCTGACAATTGTTATATTTGACTTGTTCTAATGCATTCTTTTTTTAAAATTATTATTACCAAGCTGGTGCCAGAGATACGCCCCCCTCCCTTTTTATTTAACCTCTTCCTTTGTGGATCAGCAGCCACAAGGGAACTTAATATATCTGAGTTGATGGTTTGTTAATAGAATGTGTACTTATGACTAATGGAATGCACTTGTGATTCCTGGTAGCATTAGGATTTCTGCCTATAAAATGCAACAAAATGATACAAGTTCTGAAACAAATTGTCTTCTATACAGTTTGCTCCTTGTTTCATACTATCATCCTTTTTTAAGCATCCATGTTTATGCAGTTTCAGTGGCTATGAATTTTTTCCTTTTTTTAAATAATTTTTTTCCTAATTAATCTCTAAAGTTTAATTAGTTATGGTATCATTTCTTTTAATTCCCATTAGTTCCCATTTGTTTTAAGTTGAGAGGCCAGAAATTGATGTAATAGGTGATAAATGGAACTTTTTATCCCTTTGAAGTAATTGACTCATTTCTCATGGTTTTGAGTCTGTTAGAAAAGCTCTATGGATCAGTTTGAGATTTGTATTGTCCTCTTGTTTAAAAAGCCATGCTTCTAATCTTGGGGATAAATCTAATCATAATTGAAGGAACAGTGAGACAAAGGTACTTACAGAAGAAATGTATTTCACTTTTTTTTTTTTTTTTTAAAAATGCGCTCCAACCTACTCACAACCCTGAGATTGAGTTGGATGCTTCACCAACTGAGACACCCAGGTGTCCCCAGAAAAAATTATTTTATTTTATTTTTAAAGATTTTATTTATTTGTTTGACAGAGACACAGCGAGAGAGGGAACACAAGCAGGGGGAGTGGGAGAGAGAGAAGCAGGCTTCCCGTGGCGCAGGGAGCCCGATGTGGGGCTCGATCCCAGGACTCTGGGATCATGACCTGAGCCGAAGGCAGACGCTTAACGACGGAGCCACCCAGGCGCCCCAGAAGAAATGTATTTTAATGCTTTTGAATTTATTAATACTTTGTTCCTATCCTTGGTGGGAAAATTGATAAGTTTATTATATACTCAAAGATTTGAATTTTCACCAAAGTTTTACATGGTAGAATTCACTAGATGGAAAAATGCAAATCAAATATTTTACTAGAGTTAAAATTCATCTTAGTTGCTTAAAAGTCGTAATCAAATCTATATGACAATGTTATAGTTGTTTTTTGAACCTCATTTTCAGATCATAGCAATGGATCATTTAACTTGAAAGCTCTATCAGGAAGCTCTGGATACAAGTTTGGTGTTCTTGCCAAGATTGTGAATTACATGAAGGTAAGTACTTTTCTCAAATAACACACATTCTATGTAAGTTTTTGGCAGAGGAAGAGGATTGGGGTTTCAGAAGTAAATTTGTATATATATGTCAAAATTTATCAAATTGTATGTTTCATTACGTGCAATCTGTTGTATCCTTATTACATCTCGATAAAACTAAATATAATGCTTCAAGCCTTTTACATTATATCGAATTAGCACTGCAGTGAGTCACCTAAGTATATTTAATTTACATTAATTCAAGTATACAATTTCAGCCCACCATTTCACTTAAAATTATGCCCAGGCAATAGGTATATTCACTTCTTAATTACTCAGGACTTGCTGGCAAAACCAGTAGAAGGAAGTGAATGATTTGCAGGTTGTTACTTCCACTGATGTGAAAAATAAAAACTACATAGTTGAGACATATGGTGGTGATGGTTTTTCTGCATCTTTGGAGGAAAAACTAGAGAATTACTGAGGGTCTTAGGAAAATATTGACTCACAAAAGACTTAGAATTTAAGATTTGATGGAAGATTTACTGTTTTTTGAAGTAAGTTTTGAAGTTTTGATTATGGCATTTTGGCTTTACCAAAGACTCTGAATCTTATTAAAGTGAAATTTCATTTATTGCTAAATGGCTAAATGATTTCAGATTTGCCCCCTTCCTCTGCCAAACTCATTCCTGTTTAGTTACTAGTTGTATCTCTTGAAAAAAGAGTGCTGTATTTGTTATTTCAAATTTCAGCTATGGATTGCTTAAAATGTAAATCAAGTTTTTATGTTAGGGCTTTTGTAATTTAAGAGACTTAATGTCTGGCTGTGTCTGAAATCTGTAGTTTGTATTTGATTTGTAGTAGAAATCTGTTAGTTTGTAATTTCCTATTATCAAATAATACACTTTGACACATGTTTCCTATTCATTCATTCCATCCACTCATTCCCCCATGTGGTAAACGATTATTAAAACCTACTGTATGCTATTTATAGCACTATTGGTGGGACTACTCAGAAAAAAAGTATGCCCTCATGGCTGTTAGTCTGTTGAGAGAGATTGACATTCAAATGTCATGTTTTTGCTACTCTGCTGGTACAGTTTTCACTAATCTAGATGATCTTTACTTCTACAACTTTCTTTAGGACTGTGATCTTCAAGTTTTGTGCTCAGTTATTTCCTGAAACAATTTTGAGAAATTGTGTATCTCTTTGCACATACTTAAATTGACAATTAGTTTTTCAGCAAAAGTTTAAATAGGATGGAATTTCTGACATATCGTAACATTTCAACAAAATACCTCTTTTACATTTATCTAAGGGGATCTAAATCCCATTATTAATTAAAAATATAAAAACTGCTCCTGGGTGGCGCAGTTGGTTGGACAACCAACTCTTGGTTTTGGCTCAGGTCGTGATCTCAGGGGCGTGAGATTGAGCCCCACATTGGGCTTTGTGTTCAGCTCGGAGTCTGCTCAAGACTCTCTCCCTGGGTTACCTGGGTGGCTCATTTGGTTCAAATGCGTTTGGCTCAGGTTATGATCCCAGGGTCCTGGGATCGAGCCCCATGTCAAGCTCCCTGCTCAGCGGGGAGTCTGCCTCTCCCTCTCCCTCTGCCGCTCCCCCGCTTGTGCTCTCTCTCTCTCAAATAAATAAATAATCTTAAAAAAAAAAAAAAAAGCCTCTCCCCCTCCCCCCACGTGTGTGCATTCACTCTCTAGAACAAATAAATATTTTATTTTTATTTTTTAAAGATTTTATTTATTTATTCGACAGAGAGAGAGACAGCGAGAGCAGGAACACAAGCAGGGGGAGAGGGAGAAGCAGGCTCCCCACTGAGCAGGGAGCCCGATGCGGGGCTCGATCCCAGGACCCTGGGATCATGACCTGAGCCGAAGGCAGACGCTTAACAACTGAGCCACCCAGGCGCCCCTAAATAAATCTTTAAAAAAATCATAAAAACAAACATATGGTTGGCAATTTTAGTTATTTTCCTTTTGAACCTATAAGTCTGTTCTGGTACTCCCACTGCATTTTAGCTTAATGTTATGTAATTTTGTGCTTGAAAATATATATGTTTTTAAAGATTTTATTTATTTGAGAGAGAGAGCATAAGGAGGTGGGAGGGGCAGAGGGAGATCAGGACCCCGAGATCATGACCTAAGCGGAATGCAGCCACTTAACTGAGCCACCTAGGCGCCCCTATGCTTGAAAATGTTTTAATCATCATCAAACTTTTTTGCCACAATAATATATATGTTAGAAATGTTTTTCTCGTGACCATAAGGTTCTAAGTACTATCACAATTATTATTTTATTTTTAAAGATTTTTATTTATTTATTTGACAGAGAGAGACATGGTGAGAGAGGGAACACAAGCAGGGGGAGTGGGAGAGGGAGAAGCAGGCTTCCGGCGGAGTAGGGAGCCCGACACAGGGCTCGATCCCAGGACCCTGAGATCATGACCTGAGCTGAAGGCAGAAGCTTAACGACTGAGCCACCCAGGCGCCCCTATCACAATTATTATTATTATTAGCACACAGTTCATTAGAATAACTCATGTATATTAAAATTTGGATAAAATTCAGTTTATATATAATAATTACTCAACAGAGGTCCATTTTTATTCATTTTTTAAAAAAGGTTTATTTATTTTAGAGAAAGAATGCACGAGCAGGGGGAGGGGCAGAGGTAGAGAATCTTGAAGCAGACTCCCTACTGAGCACAGAGCCCCACATGGGGCTGATCCCACAACCCATGAGATAATGACCTGAGCTGCAACCAGGAGTTGAACACTTAACTGACTGCACCACTGAGGCGCCCCTCTGTGATTTTGTTTTTAAAGATTTATTTATTTATTTTAGAGAGAAGAGTGCGTGAGCAGGGGGGAGGGGCAGACAGAGAGGGAGCGAGAATCTCAAACCAACTCCTGCTGAGTGCAGAGGCTGACGTGGGGCTTGATCTCAACCGGAACTGCAGTCAAGAGTTGGAAGCTTAACTGACTGAGCCACCCAGGCACCTTTCTATGATTTCTTTGTGTCATTTTCCTGTTAGGCTTTTGGGTCATTTTCCTGTTAGGCTTTGGGGGCTGTTAAAATATTAGGAAGATTAGCTCCTTGTGATATGAGGTGAAAATATTTTTTTTCAGTTTATCATTTGATTTTATAGAGCTATGAGTTTGAACCTGGTTCTGATTTTATAGTCCATTCTCTTCATCACTATAATTGTATTGCCTCAAATAATACATGTTCTACATTCCTGAAAGATTCACTTGTATCTATTATTTAATGCATCTAGCATTTTAAAACTGTCTCTTAGTAACATTTTCTTCCCTCAATAGACACGGCATCAGCGGGGAGATACACATCCTCTCACTTTAGAAGAAATTTTGGATGAAACACAACATTTAGATATAGGACTCAAGCAGAAACAATGGCTAATGACTGAGGTAAGAATAGCCTTAAAATGGAGTTAAAAAAAATTAGTTGGTTACCATGAAATATTTGCTATAACTAAGGTTTTTAATATACTGAAATCTGTTATTTTTACTTTTTCTTAAAATAACTGGTATAGGGTCTTTGTTTTTGTTTTTAACATATTTTTTGAGGTGGTTTGATTTGTTGGTTTTCTTAACTTACGTATCTATTTAAAATGTTAAAGACTTTTAGCATAAAAATTATAAAGAAATCAGTCATTGTACCAGTTCCATTTAAGTTTTTACAGAATAACTGATACTTTTTTAATTGCTAAATTTAGAATTGTATTGTTTTTACATATGTTTTAGAACATTTAAACCATGAGGTAGTGTAGGGATAGTGAGATATTTGTTATGCTCATACTACTATTATGACTTGATGGTGATGTTACTGCCTCTGACAGATTACTTGGAAAACGAATCCTTACATTGTGTATGTATGCACATCATTGTAGGAAAAGAAACCCCACAATAATCACTGACCCTGCTAATTTGGAAATGAACAGCATTTTTTAAAATTCACACATTTCCATCTTTTCTATTTAAGTATGAAATGACAATTAAGAATACTTTCTGGGACCAGTGTTGTAGTCTAAAGTCAAATGTAAAATTCCTAAAATGTAATTCAGTAATGTATTTTACTGAGCAAAATATTGTTCTTGATTTTTGTAATATAAAATCAACAATTAGTAACATTATAGTTCATCGTATTAGTGATATACAAATAGTTATAATCCACATTTAAATTCTGTTGCTTTACCTAATCTTCAAATTTCATAGACTACCAACATTAATTAAAAATTATTTTTATTACTATTCTGTTCTCCCTCCTTTCTTCTATGTTTCTTCTCTTTCTCCTTTCCAGGGTCAGGCTGGCAGCTGCAGAAGAAAATAAATAGGGTAGCTCTTCCTTGAAGAGCTTTCCTTCTGGTAGTAGCTGTACAGCAGAACTGACTAGGAATATAATTATATTCAGTAATTCCTGCATTCCTACTCAGTTTCATTCTCAAGCTGCCACTATAGGTAAATTTCTTATATGCAGTAGTCTGGTGCTTTTCAGTTCCTTCCACACCTGTAGGTGCCATTTGATACCAGGTGGGGCAGACTGTTGGTATATCATCCCAGGGTTATGTTTCACACATAATGCCAATATATGATAAACTATACTTTGAGGGTGGGATAGGCGATACCTAGTTCACTTTGTCTATTAATGTTAACTGGCATTTATTCTTTTTTATCTTTTATTTTCAAAAGAATATGGGTACAGTTTCTTCAGATCAGTTGTGATAAAATGGTTTTTCTCATCTAAGGAATTAATGTAATAATAAAAAGTTTCTTTTCTAAAAAGTGAGCAACATGCTGATCTCTACCTATTGGTTTTTTTTATCCTGGATGTCCAGTATTTTAGATTGCTAGTTGATATTCACAGGATACTTTTAATTTACAATTGTATTGGGTATCGATATTTTTAAAATAATTAGTATAATTTAAGAATGGGTACATGGGGTTTCCTTTTGTTAATATATCACATTGTGTCACTGTTACAGGCATTAGTCAATAATCCCAAAATTGAAGTAATAGATGGGAAGTATGCCTTCAAGCCCAAATACAACTTGAAAGATAAGAAAGCCCTACTTAGGCTGTTAGATAAGCATGACCAGCGAGGCTTAGGAGGAATTCTTTTAGAAGACATAGAGGAAGGACTCCCCAATTCCCAGAAAGCTGTCAAGGTAACCTCACTTTTCTTTCTATGCCTCAGTATAATTTGAATTAATAATGTCTTGTTTTAAGAAAACAGCAAGTGTTTTTAAATTTTTATTTTTAAAGTTTACATTATATATACTTGGGGTTGTGGTGAGCCAGTTGAAGATTTGAAGTTTGGGTCCTGTGCTACAGAGCAGGACAGAGCACAGCCATTTTTGTGTAACTTTGACAGCTCCCTTTTGTGGTGGTTTTGGGTATGAGTGCATCTTCAGAATATTTCTGGAAAGGTTTTCTCAAAGACACTTCAGTCTTTTTCTCAGAAGTTACATTTGTATACAAGAGCTGTTTCAACAATGCTCGTAGACACTGCTAACCTAAGGAACCAGAGGTATTAAACACGAAAGCATTGACTAATAACCTGGCTGTTTTAATTCCTAAAAAGCTATCAGTGAAAGCCATACAGATTACATTTCCAGTTTAAAGTTGGAACTCAGTTGGAAAGGCTGCTAGTCTCTGTTCTTCACAGTTGCTAATGATTGATGCTAATTGTTGATGGTTCATTTGTCTTGCTACCTCTGGAGTAAAACTTGCTCCTTTCTCTCCTGTACTTCTTGGTAATTAAGTGACACGTGTTACCCTATAAGTCATTGAGGCTCTGTTTATTTTTTTCAGTTTTGTTTTGTCTTGTTTTGATCTATTGTCAAGTTCATGGACTTTTCTTCTTTACCTCTAATTTGTTATAAATTCCCATTGGTGAATTTTTTATTTTAGAGCTAGTATTTTTCAGTTCTAGGCTTTTCATTCTTTTTTTATATTTTCTGTTTCTTTGCTGAGATTTTTTTTTTTTCATTCATTATAAGCCTGTTTTCCAGTACACTCTAGAGTATAATTTCTTGCAACTGCTTTAAAATCCTCTTTTTCTAATTTAACAGTTGGGTCATCTTGGGGCTGGTCTGCACTTCGTTTCTCGATTATGGGTCATGTTTTCCTGTTTCTTTGTATGTCTGATAAATTTCTGTTGAGTCTTAAATTTTGTGAATTATATGTGTAATAAAGACTCAAGATTCTGTTATATTCCTCCAGAGTGTTTTTGTTGGTTTTTGTGTATAAATGGGCAGTTACCTTGGCTAGACTCAAACTCTAAACTTTGTCTTCTTTGCAGCGGGTGGCATATAATACATCTTTTTTAGTCTTTGAACTCTTTTGAAAATATCCAGAGTTTATAGTAAGTTTTCTGTAAAAAAAAAAAAAACAAACAAAAAAAAACCAAAAAAAAAAAACTTACCTTAGAAGGGACTTGGCTATTACCCGAAGCAGAACCCTTTTCAGATTTGAAATAGGATTTATTTTTAAGGTGTGTATTGAATGAGCTACTCCTCAGGGTTGTTTTTTTAGTTAAAAAATTTTTTAAAAATTGTAGTAAAAACTATCACATAAGGTAAAAGTTTGACATATTAAGCATGTCTAAGTACAGTTCATTAGTGTTAAGTATATTCACATTGTTGTGCAAGAGATAATCCGGAACTTTCACATTTTATAAATCCACTAAACAGCTTTCCTTATCCCACTTCTCCAGTCCCTAGCAAGCAACATTCTACTTCCTGTGATTTTGACTACTCTAAGTAACTCAAATAAGTAGAATTATATACATTCTTTTTTTAAAATTTTTTTTATTTTTTTATTTATTTGCGAGAGAGAGAATGAGAGACAGAGAGCATGAGAGG